TAATAAATTATCTATCCTTACTTTTTTAGAAAGGAATACAAAATTATCTTATCCAAAATTAATAAAATTCTTAAATAATTTAATAGAATCTCAAATCTTTTTTATATATTATATATTAAATTATTAATTAATTTAATTTTAAAAAATAATATGTCTAATTGAATAATTTTATAATAAATAATTTTTTAAAAATATAATTACTAAATATTAAATTTTTTTTTAGTAATACAACATAACACTTTTAACTATTACAATTACATAATGACACCGAATAGTATTATCAAATTAAATCTTATTCAATAATTTATATTTTACAACTTAATATAACTTAAATTATAAAATAACAGATTTTTTGGATGGAAAAAATATGACATAAGGACCTGAACGTACACCAAATTCGCAATTTCAAACCCAAACTTCGATTGCACTCAATAAAGGTCCCAAACTCCATGAAATTCTCAAATAAGGTCCTAATTGGACGGAAAACTAACCTCCGTCAAATCTCCTATTAATTTCGTTAATGCCCGTCACATTTCACACCCGCCACTTGAAAAAAATTGGTTAAATGCTAATTTTAATCCCTCAACTTCATTGAGTTTCACTTTTTTGTCCCTCAACTTCATTAAATTTCACTTTTTTATCCCTCAACTTTATTAAATTATACTTTTTTGGTTCATAAACTATTTTTTGTACTTTGTGGTTCTTAAATTATTTTTTACACTTTTTTAATCTTTTAACTTTAATAACTACACAATTTTGATACTTTCATCAGTTTAATTTATTAACTCCATCCTCTTGGTATGTTTTATATTTTTTTGATGACATATATAATCTAACTGGAAAAAAATGATAATATGAATAAATAAAATAACATGTAGATAAATTTTTATATTTTTTTATAAAAAAATATAAAAACCTCTCTACCTATTTTCTTCCCCTTCTTTCTTTCTCTTTCTTCTAGCGAGGGAAGAAAATAGGTGGAGAGGTTTTTTTTTTATTTTTATTAAAAATATAAAAATTTATCTACATATTATTTTATTTATCCATGTCATCATTTTTTCTAGTTAGATGATATATGTTATTATTTTTTTCTAGTTAGATTATACATGTCATTAAAAAAATATAAAAAATATCACATGAATGAAGTTAATGGTTTAAACTGATGAAAGTATCAAAATTATGCAGTGTTAAAGTTAAAGGATAAAAAAAGTGCAAAAAATAGTTTTAGGATAAAAAAGTGCAAAAAATAGTTTAAAGACCAAAAAAGTATAACTTAATAAAGTTGAAGGATAAAAAAGTGCAATTTAATGAAGTTAAGGTACAAAAAGTGAAATTTAATGAAGTTGAGAGAAAAAAAGTGCAACTTAATGAAGTTGAGGGACAAAAATTAGAATTTAATCAATTTTTTTCAAGTGGCGGTTGTGAAGTGTGACGGACATTAATGGAATAATAAGAGATTTGACCGGAAGTTAGTTTTCCGTCCAATTGGGACATTATTTGAGAATTTCGTGGAGTTTGGGACCTTCATTGAGTGTAATCGAAGTTTGGGTATGAAATTGCGAATTTGGTGTAAGTTCGGGTCCTTATGTCATATATTTGCCTTTTTGGATTCATTAATGCACGCGCCTCCAGGTGAGTTGGCGGTGCAGTGCAGTGCACTCCGCAGAAATCATCATCTTCTTTTCCCCGACCGTAACGACTGTCAGAGTGGGGTGCTCGCTTGCAGTCCGAAACTCCGTTCTCCACTGTACTGGAAAGCGGAACGGGCAAAAAGAAAAAAAGAAAAAAAAAAGAAGAAAAAAAAAAAACCAAAATACAGGAAAAGCCTCTGTTTTTCCTCCTCGCTTTAACCCGAGACTGTTTTTCTGTCCTACATTTTCCTCAGTTCAATGAAAATGAAAAATTTTCCTATAATCCATCCATCCAACTCAATTCCCAAGACTCCCTTAAAACACATCTCCTTCTAATTATATCATTTATGTTTTCCTGCCCCCCTCTAGGGTTTCTTGTTTTGGTCATTTCCCCTTCTCCTATTCTTGGGTTTTGTACTAAAAAGAGAAATCACTGTTCTTTGGAGCTGGAAAAGGACCTCCGAATCGGGGTAACGGAGTTCAATTCCTTGTTCCTTTGAGGTGGTTGCGGAATGGCGGTGGAGATCCGGCTGGAATGGGAGATCTTGTGCTAGATTGATCCCGAGGTTGGTTTCCGGTGTCGAGTGTGGAGCAGTAGTGTGATGGTAATTGGAGTTTACTGTGAAGAGGAGGAAGAATTCTGCTCTGGAAAATGCATTTCGCAAAGCTTGATGACTCTCCTATGTTTCGCAAACAGGTTTCTTTCTTTCTTTCTCCTCAGTTTACTCTGTGAAGAAATGGAGCTGTAGACTCTTGATTTTCTGTTTTTTTAAGGTTTTGTGTGGAATTTCTTTGAATGTTGAGCCATAATTGTCGGAGTTGGTAGTTAGGTTGTCATTTTTAGTTGTCTTCGTGCTCTCTTGTAAGGAAAAAGAAAATGGAATTGGAATTACTTTCTCTTTGTTTTGTGTGATCTTGATTTCTTATAATATAAATGTACATAATCAAAATGGAAGTTTTCTTTTTGGAAATTTTAGCTGCTCTGACTCTGTGGATTTGTCTACTCCCAAGTTTTGTCTATTTTGTTTGTCTTATAAGACAAAGAATTATATACTTTAATGGATGATCAGGATTTATACTCAAGTTAGATTGTAGAGTGTTTATAGGAAATAGATTTGGTTATATTGCAAATTGTGAAATTCTGTCCCTCACCATGTTTGTTTCTTAATGGGAAAACTTTGATACTGTAATTAAGTTGGAAATTTTCTTCTGTGTGACAGATACAATCCATGGAGGAAAGTGCTGAGATCTTAGGGGAGAGAAGCTTGAAGTTTTACAAAGGATGTAGAAAATACACGTATGTTGTGTTTTTTCACTCTAAGTATGATGCTTGTTATAATGCATGTCATTGTCATCTAACGTTGGATTCTCTCATTGATGATGGCAAGTTTGAGAAAATAGTTATATTTTCTGCACAAAAAAAAAAAAAAAAAAAAAAAGAGGATTTTTAAATCAGATAAATATTTTATTGAATATGCTTGTCATTACATGAAAAATATGTATTCTTGATAAATTGATGACAGTTAAGGTGCATTTTTCTAAAATTTCAACTGGTTTGAGATTGAATAACAACTGACAACTTTTAACAGGCTTTTCTTGCATTTGGCCTTCACATATGGACCAAAAATGAATGTTACCTGCACTTGACAGCAACTTAGATGTTTGCCAAGATACCTTTATGCTTTCTTCCAATTTGTTTGTAACTTTATATCCTCGGAGCTGGAAAGTTGTTAATTTTCTGCCATATATAGCGTTTCAGGATCATGATGGGACCCTTTTCTATCAGATAGTAAGGGCTGTTGCATTAAATGTACTTCTGAGTAATTTCCCTCTTGAAACTTTAGGCCATGATAATTACTCTTCTTGCAGAAGTATTTTATGTTTATGAACTGTAATAGCATCTTCCTTTCCTAATTTGGTGGATCAGTGTTAGCTAAAACTCATTAATCAATATTTTCCATCTTTCAATACTTAGGTTGTGAAGGATTTTCCTTTTATATTTTTTATTTCTGCTTGCAGCGAAGGACTGGGGGAGGGATATGATGGGGACATTGCCTTTGCAAGTGCTCTTGAAACATTTGGTGGAGGCCATAATGACCCTATCAGTTTGGCTTTTGGAGGTATGTATTTTCTTAATATTTATTCAGAAGATGTTTTCATGTAATTACCATGTCCACATATATGGAAATCCTAAGTGCTAATACAGGTCCCGTTTTGCTGGCATGGTTGTACGTTTCTACTTTTTGTTGGGTTGAATCCCTGAGATGTTTGAATTGAATTTTGAAATGTTTACAGATTGCTTTTGTATGAATTTATTTGCCTGATTTAGGTTTATATTGGCTCCAGAACTGTGGAGTGGGATTTTTACTGATATTATTTAGTGAAACTTTTTTTTGTGTGTCTAGGGCCTGTTATGACAAAGTTTACCATTGCATTAAGAGAAATTGGGACATACAAAGAAGTTCTTCGATCTCAGGTAAGCTTTTGATTTGCTTTTTGATAAAGAATATGCTAATTTATTACTGCATAACTGGTTGTGTCTCAAATTGAATCATATACTCCTCTTTGGCTACCTTTTTGAAACATGGACTGTATTAGGAAACAATGGACGTTATTAGGAAGCAATGGATGTCTACATTCAGTAAAGCTAATAAAGAATTCAAATGCAGTTAGCTGCCATAGTTGTGTAATTGTGTTTGTCCATTATATTCCTTTTTGTTGCTTTTTTGTGACCATCGAGGATTATGATTTGAGATGCATCAAATTTTCTAATAGTGGCGTTGTTTGATATTTAGGTTCTTTAACTGTAAAAGTGTGATTTTTACTACTACAGTGTTGAAATTTAAAATTTTGCAAGGATGTGTCTGAATGATGCTTCTTGTTTCTCTCAGGTTGAGCAAATGCTAAATGACAGATTGCTACAATTTGTCAATATTGATTTACATGAGGTCAAGGTACTGCATACTACCAGTTCTTCCTGCTTATGTCTTCTGAATTGTGGTTCTTTTGAGAGGGTGTGAAATGAACTTGGAAAGTGCTGTAGAAGGAAGAGGCAGTTCATTTTTCTATGCCTTTTCATAAAATTTTAATTTTGTATTGGTCTATGAATAATCCTCTGGAGAGCCTCAACCTGCTCCGTTACATTCACTTCTCGGGAGTACACCTCATTTTCATAGGATTGTTGATGTGAATGTTTGCTGCATTCCAAGTTTTTTTCATGATTTAAGAGCTTTCTTATTTTGTGCAGGAAGAACGGAAGCGTTTTGACAAGGCTAGCCTCCTATATGATCAGGTACATGCCACATGCTAGATGTCAAAGTACTTTTCATTAAATTATTTTCCATAACAGATTTAACAGTCGAAATAATTTCTGTGCAAATATTATAAGTTGGCTATGAGTCATCTAAACTGCAGTGTCACCCACCTTTTGTTTGTATCCTTTCTTTATCTTCATGTCCAGAAAATTCAAGTTTGATTTATTTGGATAATAATTTGTTTATCATTACTTAAATAGTAATATAAGATAACTGCCATTCTTCTAAAGTTAGTGCACTTGGAAGAAACACTTCTCATTTCCCCCTAAAATAGATAGATGACAGACTTGGTGGGAGATTTAGAAAGTATTGTGATTGAGTATGCAAAAAATACTTAAACTGATTTGATTACCTTCCTCTATAGTTGAATTGGTCTCTGCTGAATAAGCATAACAAGGAAGTAAGCTACATCATATGACAGGCATTGGGTTGATGACTCTTGTTAGATGTTAGCAAGTTATATATATTAAGGCTTTATTGGTTCTGTAATGGACCTAATGTACTTTCTCCTTTATTTCTTCCATGTTAAATTGCTAATACAGTAATACTTTGCCTTATTTTGTTAAGGCTGACAGATTTGGTAATGACATTGATACCTCTGCAGCTATAAAGTGTGCCTGTATTTCTAAGTTTCTGTTAATAATTTGACCTGGGATTTGGCTTACAGCTATTTTATGATGAATATGATGGCTTGTGGGATTGATGTAATGAAAGTTTCTTCAATCTGATGTGCATTTTATCTGATGTGAAAGCAATTTCAGAGTTATCTTTACTTGGTTTAAAACTATGCCACAGGCTCGTGAGAAGTTTCTTTCACTGAGGAAAGGTACGAAGGGCAACATAGCTAATGTTTTAGAAGAGGTATTCAGCACTATCTGTCCTACATATCATTGTTATTCATATGTATATGTATGAATTGTCAAACCATTGAAAATTTCATTACACATTCCAACATTTTTGGAGATATTTTCAGGAACTTCATAATGCAAGGTCTGCATTTGAGCAAGCTCGCTTTAATCTGGTAAGTTAATTTCCTGAAAATATTGTCTTTTTGTTTTTGAACTTTCTTTGGTGTTATTGATTTGGCTTTAGATATTTTAATTGTACACTCTGGTTTGTAATCTTGGTTACTTTCTATCCAGGTAAGTGCAATTTCAAATGTTGAAGCAAAAAAGAGGTTTGAATTTCTAGAAGCAGTAAGTGGGACAATGGATGCACATCTTCGATACTTTAAACAGGTGATTGGATGGCAGAAACTTTTCACCTCTTTCTCGTGTTCTATCACATTTGTTGCTTATTCTGATTCTTTCCCACTTGTAGGGATATGAGTTATTGCATCAAATGGAGCCATACATAAATCAGGTTGGATATTATATTTTACTGGGGAATTGGAAGGAAATTTTTTCTGGGTTCGCCATACATTACATGTTGGCCTTGTATACTTATGTTCTCTTCTAAAAAAAATGGAAACTAGTATATTTATTCATGCCACAACAACCTTATTTGAGAGTTCTACAATAAAAAATATTAGTTGCTATTTTTATTGTAGTAATAGTCCCAGTTGATGTTTTCTCTTTTTATTGTTACTGTTATACATACAGTCTACAAAAATATGGCCCTGGCAAGGGATGACTGTCATCTGGCAAGAAAATTTTATGGCCAGTCAAAGTGGGTCTTAGTCAACTTGATGAGTTGAGGCCTCCAACATTTCTAATATTATTAATCATTGTACAAACTGTTTAAATATCAAGCTTATTATTGTTTTGCAGGTGCTAACTTATGCACAACAATCGAGGGAGAGGTCCAACTATGAGCAAGCAGCTCTCAGTGAAAGGATGCAAGAATACAAAAGGCAGGTTGATAGAGAGAGTAGATGGTCTTCTGATGGTTCAAATGTGTCTCCTAATGGGGATGGTATACAAGCCATTGGTAGAAGTTCACATAAAATGATAGAGGCGGTTATGCAATCTGCTGCAAAGGGAAAGGTTTAAAGAAGCTTTTAAGTTATACCAGAACTCTGTTTATGCTTTTGCATTGTAATTTCCTATCTGCAACTAAAAGCTGAACCTAATTTTCAGGTTCAAACAATTCGACAAGGTTATCTGTCAAAACGTTCCTCAAACTTGAGAGGAGACTGGAAAAGGCGATTTTTTGTCCTCGATAGCCGAGGAATGCTGTATTACTATCGCAAGCAAATTGGTGGTAAATCATCGGTAAGATATTATTATTTTCCTATAGAGACAATTAATATATAACATGGGTGAAGTTAATTTTTGGGATGCTTCTGTGAACTGCTTTGATATCATTCTTGCTGAACTTTTTAGGCTTCTGGAAGTCAGCTTTCTGTTCAGCGGAATAGTTCTGAACTTGGATCTGGATTGTTAAGTAGGTGGCTTTCTTCTCACCACCATGGTGGTGTCCATGATGAGAAATCTGTTGCTCATCACACGGTGAACCTGCTTACGTCAACCATCAAAGCTGATGCTGATCAGTCAGATTTGAGATTTTGTTTCAGGATCATTTCACCAACAAAGAATTACACTTTGCAGGTATGACTTAGGTTTAGGTTTTACTTTGGTTTTGAATTCATTAATTCATGCATGCACAAATATAAAATATCAGGCATTAATTTATTGATAATTAATTGTTACCTTTGACATTTTATGATTGAAAAGAACTACAGTTATTTGGCAATTAATCCCCAATAATGTTTGTTTTCCCTTGTCAGCACAGGCTGAGAGTGCACTAGATCAAATGGATTGGATTGAAAAGATAACTGGGGTTATTGCCTCATTACTAAGCTCTCAAGCTCCTGAGAGGGTAGATATTAATTAAAATAGAGCATTACTTTTTTGACTGTTTATTTTATTTTGATAAATGTGTATATATTTTATTTATATATTGATGATGGTACTGTAATTTTTCCAGTGTTTGCCTGCTAGTCCAATGGGGAGTGGTCATCATCGATCGGCTAGTGAGAGTAGTTCATTTGAAAGTTCTGATTTTGATCATACTGCTGAAGAATATACCTCTGAGAGGAACCATGTTAGTGCACATCATGAACGCCAATCAAGAAGTTTGCAGCATCAAAGGGCCTATGTAAAAAGTGAGAAGCCAATAGAGGTGTTGCGAAAAGTATGTGGGAATGATAAATGTGCAGACTGTGGTGCCCCTGAACCAGATTGGGCGTCCTTAAACCTTGGTGTTCTTGTTTGCATTGAATGTTCTGGTGTTCACCGTAATCTCGGTGTACATATATCTAAGGTTAGTTTCATAAAGTTATTTGTCTTTATATGAGAACTTTTTATTAACACCATCTCAATATCTACTTAATGTCCTATTTGCCAATAATACATGGATTTTCAGGGATGAACATTCATTAGAATATAAGTAGGGTTAAATTGGCTGTAGTGGTTGTGTTTGAGATGAGAATAAATGCCGTTGCTTGAATTTTTCCTTGTTCTTTCAGTGCCTGTACTTTTAGTACGTCAAAAAGGTTTTTGTTGAGATGAATTACCATTCTGTTAGCTAGGTAAAATCATTTGTGATGTATAACTGTGTAAGGTTTTTTTTTTTTTTTTTTTCCATCGTTTATGCAGCTCTTATTTTTTATTGATTTCTATGGCAGGTGAGATCACTTACTCTTGATGTAAAAGTGTGGGAGCCTTCTGTTATAAGCTTGTTTCAGTCTTTGGGCAATGCATTTGCTAACTCAGTCTGGGAGGAACTTTTGCAATCAAGAAGTACCTTCCAGGTTGACATTGCCTCTACAGGGTAAAGAATCCAATAAGATCCACATATATTCAGCAGATATTAACTTTTTTGTCTTATGAGATTTCACTAACATTAACTTATTATTCTGCTAATGAAGCTTATACAAGTCAGATAAGCCCCAGCTACTTCCTGTGGGAAAACCTTGCTACTCCGATTCAATATCACTAAAGGAGAAATTTATTCATACAAAGGTCAAAATTTTGCTTCCTACTCTGTTCCTAATTCTCAAATTGCTTTTAGAGATATTTGCATAAAGTTCATGTAGAGACATCTTGTGAACTTGTTCAAGCCTTCCCTTGGAAGGTTGATAATTCATTTAAATTATGTGTACAACTTTTGTGCTATGATGGAGCATGCAGGTTTGTTCACGATACCATTTTAACTTTCTTTTGGCATCATTTGCGGTGTAAATATATATGTAATACTTAATTTGAATGCTTTTCCTTACTGATTTTGTTTATTATTATTATTATTATTATTATTATTATTTATTTATTTTTATTTTATTTTTTGGGCAGAAGTCATTCATTTCAAACATAAGCAGTCACTGAAGATTTCTGATCTGAACTTTTTAATTTTCATAAACAAGCAATTTTATTTAGAATTTTTTTTTTTGAACAGCTATTTAGAATTTATTTGATTTAGTGACCAACAACTATTGGAATGTTATTATTCTCTTCAATCCCTTTTGTATTAAATAAGTAATTGTCCTTTCTTGTGGTCTTAGGATGTTTATAAATAATGAAAGTGATTATAGTTATTGTAAAGTCTAGAATGCCTTACTTTATCTGTGTAAGATACTGAAGTGATTGGGTGTTTCTTGGATCATAGTATGCTGAAAAGCTTTTTGTTCGCAAGCCAAGAGACAAGCAATATCCACATTCAGTAGCACAAAATATTTGGGAGGGTGTTCGTGCAAATGACAAGAAAGCAGTATATCGTTACATTGTTAATTGTGAAGCAGATGTGAATGCTGTGTACAAACAAGCCTCACCTGGCTCTTCTTTGACCCTCGCCAAAGTAATGCTACTACAAGAGCACTCGAACCTTAATAACAGATCTGGTTCCTTACCAGGGGAAGCTTTAGACAGGTCTTCTAGTTTGGATTTGGCAGGTACAAGTGAGGGCCAAACCATTGGGGATCTTGATGGTTGCTCCCTCCTCCACCTTGCTTGTGAAACTGCAGATATTGGCATGCTTGAACTTCTGTTGCAATATGGTGCAAACATAAATGCAACTGATTCAAGGGGTCAGACCCCACTCCATCGCTGTGTACTTAGAGGCAAAGGTGCATTTGCTAAATTACTTCTTACCAGGTAACTTGAAGATTCTTTTGACGTAATGGTTATTTCTGTATTATTTCATTGCTATATAACTGTATATGCAAGTGTTATAGCTCAAATGTTATCATTACTTGGTAGCTGGTTTATGATTGTATTCCTGCTCTCCTTGAAATTAAATGAAAGCTATCTATACAGGGGAGCAAATCCGCATGCTGTAAACGAGGAAGGTAGAACTGCATATGAGCTTGCAGTAGAGTCTGACTTTGATGATAGTGAAGTCCTTGCTCTATTATCAGATTCAAACGGGTAACTTCCTGCGAAAGCAGAAGTTATATAGGGCCAACTGAATCGAACCTTCAGAATGAAATTTAACAGATGTGTCGAGTTTTTTATGATTATAATAATATTTATAAATGTTTAAGAGCTGATTTCTCCATTGAAAGAGATACACACCCCTACTGTTGTAAGGGCTTATAAGAGTGGAGAGTGCAGAGTGGTAGGTTTGTCATGCCTGCCCCATGGGCACATGCAAATTAGTATCTGAAGGTTGTAATTTAAAATGGTCTCATTGCCTGAAACCGAGAGAAGCTCGAAGATTTTCAGACATAAAGCCTTGTTGTGAGGGATGTGTTTTGGGTTTGTTTGTTCCTTTCCTGTTGAGGTAATTATGGCATTTTGTATTGTATGTACATTTGATCATTTTAGTGAATTGTTAGTTGTGGTTGTATTCTTCATAGGTGTGTTATTTTTTTATATTTTGGTACATTAAAAGTGTTAAGTGCTTGATGTTATAAAAATTTAGATTTCTTAGCTTAACTTTAAATTAAAAATTTTAAATTAAT